GCCTCTCTCCTCGGGGCTGGGCAGGCACACCCACCCGCCACACCTGCGGAGCCCCTCCCCACAGCCAAGCCCACACAGGTCTGACAGATGATAGTGAAAGCTGACCCGTGGAATGAGTATCTTGGGTCCCGTCTCCGTGGCTTGGTTGGTTGGAGTGTCGTCCGTACACCAGAAGATTGTGGGTTCAATTCCTGGTCAGGGCGAGTACAGGAGGCAACTGACCCGTGTTTTTCACATCGATGTTTCTCTCAAAAAAAAAAAAGAGAGAGAGAGAGAGAGAGAACATATCCTTGGGTGAGGACTAAAAAAATAGTATCTCGCGGTTGTTTCATTCCCACTTCTCTCATGAGCGGAGTTTGGTGTCTCACATGTTGAAGAGCCATCTGTGGTGCCCGCTCTGCAGCACATACACTAAACTGGAACGTACGGAGACTCGCGGGGCGCCTGCACGAGGATGACACACTAAGTCCTGAAGCGTTCATATTTTCACTCAATAGAACTTGGGACTGAAAAACAGATCCAGCCCAGCTGGTGTGAGTGAGCATTGACCTATGAACCAGGAGGTCACGGTTCAATTCCCGGTCAGAGCACATGCTGGGTTGTGGGCTCAGTCCCCAGTAGGGGGTGTGCAAGAGGCAGCCCATCAGTGATTCTCATCATTGATGTTCCCCTCTCTCCCTCCCTCTCCCTTCCTCTCTGAAAGCCATAATATATATATATATAAAGATCCATTTGTGGTTCCTTTTCAGTGAACTGTCCTTTGCTGTCCGTGCATGTGCCTGTTGGTTGCGGCGCATCCCCGTGGGGAGTGTGCGGGAGGCGGCTGGTCGATGTTTCTCTCTCATTGGTGTTTCTAGCTCTCTATCCTTCTCCCTTCCTCTCTGTAAAAAATCAATAAAGTATATTTAAAATAAAAAAAAAAGAAAACTCTGTACAAGGTGGCCTCCTTGGCTCCAGAACAATCCATGCCTGGGTAATGGCGACCCTATTTCTACACCGACCTTTCCTGCATGAACAGGACCCACTGCCCGAGGAGGGGGCGGCCCTGGGTGCACAGGTGGTCCCGCTGAGAAGAGGAGGACGCCTGGGTGTCTGCCCCGTCCATCCCCCGGGGAAACCCCCTCCCTCCCTGGGCCTCAGCTCCCTCATCTGTGAAGTGGGGTCGACACAAGGGTCACATGAACGGATCCATATGAAAGGCTTCGAAGAGCCGTGAGCCAGGCTCCTCGCTCCCAGGGAGCCTCTGTGACAAGGGGACACACTGCCGGGGACACACAGAGGGGTGCATGGCCCTCCCACTGTGCGGAGGCTGTGAGCGCTGCTGTGAGCAGGAGGCACCTGTGTCCGAAGCAGCAGCTGCTGGAGAAGTTCTCGCTCCAACCCCACTGACTGCGGGTGAGCAGCCCAGCAGGCGGAGCACAGTGTCTCCCACCCCAAGGCCAGCCCCGCCCGGCCTCCTCCTGTCCCCTCACCCGGAGGAGCTCAGCTGCCCCGGCCTGCATCTGTGAGCGGGTCACCCACTGGTGAGCGGCACTGACTCCTCTCTCCAGAGCTGGGGGTGGGGGACCCTCCAGAGCTGGGGGTGGGAAACCCTACCCTCTCAGCGGCTGTGGGTTAGCTGAGATCTGCACGGGGTGCAGCTGGGAGAAGGGGGCTCCCCCCACGCAGGGCCCGCTCCCTGGTACCTGGCCCGCCACCAGGTGGTTCTGCAGCAGGAGAAGGGCCAAGGCAGGACTGGCCTCACCCAGCAGAGTGGCCCTGCCTCCGGGCCCTGCCTGAGGGCCAGGCCTGCGGTTCTGCAGCTGAGGCCCCCGGTGGGAGCTGCCTGCAGCTGCTCTTCTGGGCGGCGCCTTCCCCCACCTCGCTGACCCCAGTGGAGAAGCCACCTTGCTGGTCCCTACAGGGCAGGGCCGTGTCCCGTCCCCCCCAGACTGGGGCTCCCTGAGGACAGGGCCGTTTCCCCCTCAGACTGGGGTTCCCTGAGGACAGGGCCATGTCCCCCTCAGACTGGGGGTCCCTGAGGACAGGGCTGTGTCCCCCCAGCCGGGGACCCCTTGGGCCACAGCTCTGGAGCCCTCCCTCCCCGGAAGCACGTCTGCCTGCTCGGCGCTGGCCCTGGTGCACCCACAGGTGACAGCCCCACTCACCCCCTTAAGACGAAGCCGGGCAGAGGCTCCTGGGGTGGGGGCGGGCTGTTCATATCCGGCCCCGGCTGCAAACCGCGCTCTGCTGGGCTCCAGGCTCCTGAGGGTCTTAATTGATGAGCCTGTGCCCAGCAGTCGCCAACCTTTGGACCTCACGGACCACCAGGGTCCGCAGACCACCGGGTGCCGACCGCTGCGCTAGCCCACTGTCCCATGGCCCAGCCGCCTCTGACGGGAAAATCATCGCGTCAATTTCCCTGGGAAACCCACATAATTCAGTCAGTGAGTCCGTAAGTCAATGAGGGAAGCCGAACGGAAACGAGCACCCCAGGGAGAGGAGGGAGGCAGGAGTGTAGCTGCTAATGAGTCAGTCCCCGCCTGACCCCCATCGAGCCTTGGCAACGACCTCTGTGAGCCTCAGTCTCCTCATCTGAGAAATGGCGATATAGTTCCTGACGGGCCTGTGGCGGAGACGGAATGGGCAATACACACAGAGCACCTGGTGCACAGCAAGTGCAGGGTTAGCGCTTCCTTTCT